ACCATGAGTATTGGTTCGGCCAGGGCTCGAACCCTCAACCTCCCGTGCAACACAATCCGGCGCTCTAACCAATTGAGCTAACCGGGAGGCAGTCAAATTAAGATAAGAATTAGATTAAGATTTTCCTTTAAGAAAAAACCAGTCATTACAATCTTTAAAAATAAAATGTCATGTGAAGGGAAAACATTCACTCAAATAGATAAAGAAAGAAAGGCATTTGGCAATTGTCCATTAATAGGGGGTGGGTAATTTGAACCTTGCCTGGGTGGGTTGGGGAATTTGAACCAAATATGTCAAGTATTTTCAGCAGAATAAACATTTTTTCATCTAATACAAAGTTTACAACAACTCAAACAAAATGAATTTCTGTTACTCTTGAGCTGCTCTAAATTATAGATTTTCTTACTAACTAAAGGATAATAATCCTGGAGTCAACTTTGCAAGGAGGATTTGTTCCAAGTTCAGACCCACAAAATGGAGTCAGTAGCTGGATTTTATTGATTATAGTACCTGTCTGCTCCAAATTCTTTAATACGCTCTTCATCAACTCTGAAAGATTACAAAATTACAGAGTATCATTTCTTGCATAATTGGTAAAGGTCTGATAGATGAAAGTGACCTTGGACAGTGGACTGGACAAGATCACTCACCAACCATTTGATGTTAACCATTGTATGTGTCATTTTATCTAAGTATTATAAACTGTTAGTAAATGCATTGACCATACAGAAGTAATCTTATCATATACCATACCGAAAATATGACCCAAATAATTAACTATTCACTAAAAAGGAGGTGGGTAGTAGCGGATATTCACCTAACGACAAAGCCACAAGGTGAATTTCCATCCCTTACCACTGACACTGAGGTGAATAGATGCCTTAGTATATACTAAAACATTGAAATAATATAGCACATAGAGATGATTTTAATGCATTTCTTCCTTCAATGATTAAAATATTATTGGGCACAAATCTCACTTGGGTGGTTTCCTGATTGTAAGCATTAATTTCAATATCTATCACTTTTGACACCAACTGTGTCTCCTACCAATATTTATATTACTGACATTGTTGACAATGAACAAACACACAAACTCCCACAGTGGTTATTGCAGTATTCCTAAGTGTATGAAAAATAACACCGAAAACATATTTTTAAAAGCTGAAAAGTTATTGGCTCTTTTAGCCCTCATCATTTACCTGTTGAAGACAAAGTTGAGCCATGAGTAGAAGGATCTCTCAGGGCCGATACTTTCAGCTACTCCTTTAGCAACCAGATTTCTCCATGGTCTTAATGCTGTCAAACACTGAAATAGAATCAGATTGGGTTTGGGTAATGTCTTTGTTAGCGCACAAGCTGTTTCCCAGCCTATACTTTTTTTGCTGGAAGTGTGCAGGACACATGTAATATATGAACTTCCTAATGGGCCTTGCTCACCATGGAGTCTCTTTGGCTCAGTAGTAGAGCTTCACAGTGCAGAATCCAAAGGTCTGTAGTTCGATTCCTTGTGGGAACTCGGAGTTTTTTCTTTGTCCCATGCTCTTTACAAGACAAAAAACATCTTTCTCTATTTCTTTTCCAAGCTCATAACTTAGCTCCGTTTTATGCATATAAACCCACACACAACCCACAATTCCTCCATTTGCTCTGACGAAGGGCTAACGCTCAAAACGTCAGCTTTTTTACTCATTACGGTGGCCAATTTACAATTTCAACTTAGTTGATATAACCAAATTACCTTGTTACCCCCACCCAGGCTGCACCACAGTTTCTCTTGAAACTTTCAGCCTTTTTTCATCTTTCTTGTTGTATTTATTTTGGATGCAGTTTAGTACTCTTAATTCCCCATGGAATATTGTATTTAAGCATTTAAAAGCCCTGACTCATGACTCTGATTTTCTAGATATTTCCATGAAGATGAAAAAATATTATAATAGTAACACCCATGGTAGTCTCCCCTACAGCAACTAAGGAGAAAGTGTGTGGTGTGTCAATGACAAATGAAAACTGTAAAGGAGACAACATCCATGGTAATTATGTGTTACATCCTCAATCTACATATCAGCAATCTCCCTGTTAGATCAAGGATAAATGAAAAATAAATAAGAGAAGAAAAAAAAGTGCTGCATGATTGATCATTTACCCCAGCTGGCAATAATTCTCTCCCACTGCATGAGTATTTGAAGATGAAAGTTTTTTTTTTTTTTTTAATTGTTTTATCGAGTTCCTTTCCTCAAGAGGTCTTGGGCCTTCTGATTCGCATATCCATAGGCACTATCACCCCCAAAAATATCGTATCGTTTGAGCGATAAAACGAAATTTCCCATTTTCCCTGCAACTCTTCCAAGTTCACACTACCCTAGATCTGGCTTGCATGAAGTTATCTTTCAACTGTATGCGGGGGCACAAAAAATTAATATAGTTTAAGTTTGAAAATTTGATTCCTACGATAGCTGCGAGAAAAATTAGCTCTAACTCAAAGAACAATAACTATTAATACCTACATTCATAACAATGTTTGAACGCAGTGGTCACAATAACCCATTTTCTGCAAGGCGTTCCTTGAGGATAGAAAAAGCTATAAAAAAAACTTTTAACATGGAGACTGGAATTAGTATGCCGCTGACCAAGTTATATCACGGTCTCAAAAAGACACGCGTCTGAGAAAAAGCAAGATGGCGACTGTGGCGGAGCTACACCGTGACCTGGAGTTAGCTCGGGAAGGGCTGAAATCTGTAGATGAAAACATCAATAAACTTACTGGTAGAGATCCTTCGGAGTTCAGGTAATGCAGGTGGTTTTTTCATAAAAGGTAAGTGCCGCGAACATTGTTGTGCGAAGAGTTTCCTTCAACTTAAATGCATCGAATTACTTCTTTCTGCTCTTTCCCTTTGTTTTCACAGTTCGTTCATTCGTAGAACTACTATTTTTAAGTAGGGTTAGGTTAACCCCAGTCCACGGTTGCTATCCTAAAGTTACCAAAGCTTAGAATGTTTCCTGGAAATATACAGGAAGTCAGAAGGAATGTGAAATCACCTGCAGTTGTCGGCTGTCGACAATAAACAGCTGGTTTTGCAAGATCGGAAACCCTTTTCGTAAAACCACTCACCCGTTCCGCGGGAGATGCAAACAGAAGTTTATCAGCCTTTAGAACTAGATGAAATTTCAAGGACCAGCTGTTTACCTCAAGTTTCCATTTAGTTGTTGATGAGATTTACTTGAGCTAAAATTTGTTGAAGTGAATTACAGGAAAACCCCATACACCTGCCCACCTTCAGGCTACATGAAAGATGTCTTGTTTAAGGCCTAGAATTGTTTCACAACCCTCCCTTCTAGCTGCTACACATATCCATATAACCTGGTCATGACAATATGGTTTTTCATCAAGTGAAAGCATCTATCTGATATTTATTCTTGGTATTTGCATGTTTGGTGATGAATATGGAGATATGCATGAAAAACTGAATCTTTCCTATGAGGAGTCAAAATGGAGTCTAATTCCTGATTTAGCCATACAATTTTCCATCAACCAAGCTGCAGACAACTGGTTGATAAGTATAGTTCAAGGAGAAAAGAATCCTGCACATAGTATTTGTAGAGTAAGTGTCAAAATGAAGAACAATTTCAAATAAGAATGTGATGCTTTGATACAGGCCAGCGGCAGGACGGCGAGTGTCACTGAAGAGAGACTTCACAGAGAGGAACATGGGAGTTGGACAAGGACCAGCAACTAAACGACGTGATTCTACTGGTGCACAGGGAAGGTCAGTCTGATCAAGATGATTTGTTAAGGGCTGTTAATAAGAGTCCCTAGTCAGCCAAAACTGTCAGTTATTTTGAAATCTTTAGCAAGCAACTCTCACCTTGTTCTATCCTGTTTACAGACAAAAAATTGTGCAATTTTGGAAGTGCAACTAAAAAAATTTGTATAGCAGTGAATTTATTGAATTTATTTAATTTAAGAGTTTATTTAGATTTACACACTACCCCACAAGCTGTTCAGCTTTAAACATTATCGTGTATAAATAAAGGTGTTATTATTATTATTATTATTATTATTATTATTATTAGCAGTCATTTTGCAGTTTTGAGTTGAAATGAAACCATTATTTGGGGAAAAAAGGCTCAGAGATGTCTTAAGATTTGCTGAAAGGTCCTTTTGAACTTCATGAAATGCCTGGGACATTTTAGATAACAGTTCCCAGTTGTGTGAGTTATATATGAACTTGATTGAATTTCTGGATACGTTTTGTGTTTTTAGACTCTGGAGCCGAGTGGTGAGAACAAGGACTTCACAAGAGCTGACCCGCCCTTCCTCGCGTCTGGATAGTGAAGGCGAAGAAGATGAGGATGACACAGATAAGGTAAATTTAGATCATACTTTTCTTCTTTAAGCCTGGAAGATTGAATCTCACTGGTCGTTATGATATTTAACAAATGGCAAACACCACAGCATACACTATTGAGTTATAGATGCAAGCGGGAGGTTGCTAAGCACGAAAGAAGCGTAAGAGTTGCGGGAGGCGATAGCCAAGAGTAACTCTAGCTTCTTGAGTACTTAGCAAACCTCCCAAGTGCATCCATAACTCAATAGTGTACGCTGTGGCATTCACCATTTGTTTTATAACATAACATTGATACATTGTAGCTAAAGAGTTCCCTTTCATTTAACAAATCTTACGTGACCAGAAAAAATAAGCTCATGCAGAAAAATAGTCTTTGCATTTGCTCATGTCAGCTGCATACACCCATGGGCAAATGGGGGATGCTAAATTGACCAATCAGAGTGCGCGCTTTACATTGGTTATGTTATAATATCTTTTGATGGTACTAGATTAATTTTTTTTTTTTTTTTACAATTTGCAAAACAATATAGGTGCTACATGTAGGGAACTACAAAACATCAATTTTCTAAGATAGGGAATAGGGAAAAAATCCAATAGGAGACGGAATGCAATGAAGGAATTAAGATAGTTAATGCTTAAAAAAAAATGAAAACAGCTTTCAATTGAACAAAATGTTCATGCTGTTTTCTTATTTTTTTTTTATTTATTTATTTTTCTTTTGTAAGTCATCTTGTGAAAACAATTGTTTTGCTTCTGGTAGCCTGCTATCCAGTCATCAGTTGTAGCCACACCCACACCATCTCGCCTCAAGAGAGACGCCATCACAAAAACAGATGACAAAACCAAGTCAAGGTTGGTTGAAAATCGCCAATTCTCAGATGATTGTTTAACTCTATCAATACTTTTTCTTTACTGTATTTTGTGAGCAAAAGTTATCATTTCTGTAAGGTGTGGGACTTCCAACAAGGTGAACATGGTTTACTTTTGTTGATCTGAGATGTCTGAAATGAATTGTTCATTTTCAGAAATAAGAGAATGTTCGGCATGCTGTTGGGAACTCTACAAAGGTTCAAAGATGACAGCGCTCAGAAAACAGAGAAGGTAATTTCACACAGTTTCACCAATGTAAGAGAAATATCTTTAATCAAAATGGTCAGTCTTGTACAAAGCTTTTTTATTGGTCTGTGGATGACGGAATGTAACAACTTATCTGGCAAGGATTTCTGCTGTTTTATTTTTAAAAGGAAATAAGGAGAGAGGAAATCAACAAGAAGCTTGAAGAAGCTGAACAGAAAGAGAAAGAAGAACTGTCTTCTCAAAGAAAAGAATTATTCACAGAAAGAAGAGCAAAGCAAGCAGAACTTCGATTGTTACAGAGAAAAGTTGATATGGCTGAATTGGTAAGGAAAAAAAAATCCTATCCAAACTTGTGAATTTTCCTCAAGACTGGATCTCCCTACAAATATACCATTTGGTTTTTTTATTTGGCTTTTTTATTTGGCTTGATTAGTTCTATTTTTTCAAGAAAGAAACTATTATGGTGGAAAGAGATGGAGTGTTATTTCCAAAATGGAAATCTAATTTTTTGTTTTTTTTTGTGATTGCGAGAGTTGACAGAAATGAAGTTGAGCACATTGTGGGTAGTCAGCAAGAGGAAAACACCTCTGCATCTTACCCAGTAATTGGCTGGCATCCAATACTTAGTCTGTCTGACTTGGCAGCTAAAAAAAAATTTTTTCTTTTTTTTTTTTTTTTTGCAGCAAGAAGAATGGGATAAACATGGTGAAAAATTGAGTCACTTCATCATGACCAAAGCCAATCCTCCCATCTTCTACCTTCCAGCCAAACACAATGACAAGACGCAGAAACTCTTGGAGGAATCTACAAGAACTGTGAAAAGTAATTTTTTTTGTTATTCTCCCATTTTTATTTCCCTCAATGGCCTTTCAGTCCCTTTTAAAGATTACTTCCTTGTAATTAGTGGGAAACACCACGGCTTAATGCTAACCAACTGGGCTCCATGTTGAGGGGTCCTTGTCAGCACATTAAGAAATGTGTAGAGAACAGTGTGGAGAATATGCATACTGACATCAGCTTGTAAACGGTTAAAGCACGCCTAGTTCTTTGCATCAGGAAGACACTGCTCCATTATCATACCCTAATTGGTTTGTAGAACTGAACTCCACCAACCCCTGTCTCCCTTTCAATGTATAATCAAGGATGAAAATTAATGTTTTGAAGGTTACATGCAGGGGAACTGGAATAACACAATTTGTTTTTGCCTTTTGATGACTTTAGTGTCATCGTCAAACACTAACTGTTTAATTCTTGTTTTCAGGAGCAATGGCTAAAAGAAGAGCAGAAATAGAAGAGGAACAAGAACTAGAAGAAGAGCAAATGAAGAATGCAAGGTTGTCTGTATCTAATGAGGGTGAGATTGAGAGTAAGGGGGGAAGAGTTGAAAGCGCAGATGGTGGTGGGGATGTGGAAATGAAGGGGGAGAGTCCAGAAGAAGTATCTGGGAGACAAAGAAAGAAAAGTGAGAGTAAAGATCCTGAGAATGGGGTTAAAGAGGAGAGGAATGTTCAGGAAGAGAGACAAGCAGTAGGGGTGGAAAACATGGAGGAAGATGAGGGAGAGATATAATAGTTGGAAGTCAGATCTAGGAGAATGTGACTAGTTAAATATTAGCAGTGCCAAGAAGACTGCTAGTTTCCCTTGCATACCATCTCTCTGCGGTTAGAATTGATGACAGTTAACTCTATCAACATAATTTTGAGCCATATATGTCTTTGTCCCATCTGCTTGCTCTAATCTTTTATTTTTTCTGTTAATGCATACTGTGATGTCTCTCTTACAACTTCACTTCTTGGCTCGTTTGTTCTTGTAAGATCTTAGAATGAAGTTTCTTTTGAAAATTGCCTCACGGTAAGTGACTAAAATAAAGTTAGACTCCTGTCATTGTTAAAATACTACTTGGGATTTACAATAAATCCAAAAATTCAAGAGAAATGAACAATTACACCACCGCTAAACTGATGAATTTGGAATTTAGAGACACAAAATTCTCTGAATCACAAAGCAAGCTGTACAGTGTGTAAAACCTGTCTTCAGGAATGGAAGATACCTGTTTCCAGAATCAGAAAGACTGGGTTGGTTTGGCTGTTGCAGTGAATTTTTGAGTTAAGATTTGACAGAGGTGAGATGTGAACAGAAAGTCAGGCTTGTACTACTCAAGTGTAGATTTCCTTTTCCCAGCAGATTTGGAAAGGTGAACGCTTATCAGATATTCTTGGTTAGCTTTCACCCTATTAGGTTTCACCCTTTGTTTTCTGTTTGCTTAGCCCATAGGAAGGTAGTATGGAAGCTTTGGAATGAGTGTTGTGTGTGATTTCAGGCAGAGTATGTTGTGGTGTTTATAGAATCAAACATAGAGAGAGACACACATAGATTTCTGTAAGCATTTATGGAAGCATTTCAAATATTTCATTTTTGATTGTCTTATTCCTTCCAGTTTTGAGTTCTAGCTTTTAGTGACCTACATTGTAAGTGAACTTAAGTTTACAGTCGTGAGTGTGTTTATGCTAGTGGTGCAACCATTCTGGATGTGGTGCACGTCATGGAAGAGAACTTCAGTCATCAACCTTTTTGTTTTTTGTAATCTGGCTTATCAATAAAATGCTGTGTACTGTGAGACATAAAAATCACTAAAATTATATGCTCTGTAATAATCCTTGCCTTTTTATGTCGAAAAACAATGTTGGAAATAACTATTAAAAGTTTGCAGTCATTTGCTTATTTCTTGTGAATAAAACCTTAATAAACTATTAATATTATATTGCTGTTTTCTTTGTGCTTAGAGATTGTCCTCCAGTCCCATCTCAGTCTGTGAGTAGGCTTTTATTATAAGTACTACAACACAAGAGTGTCTTCTCCCAGTGAAATGTCTGCCAAGGTTTTGACCCATGGCAAACCTTCCCCAACCTGTCTCAAGTCTTCCCTTAGGCTGAGAAATGCACCTCTTCCAGCACAAATCACAAGGGCCTGCTGGCAGACTATACTCCTACCCCAGGTCAGCCTGCTTAGCAGTCATCCTTATTTCCTTATAGCAAAGTAGGACAGTGAAAAGTCACCTCAAGGGGTGTGGAAGGACTCCCACTCTGTTCACACTTCTTGCTCGGCTTAAAGAATGCGTTACTGTAGACTAGGGTCGCCAGGGAAGAGACAGGAAGGTTGATGAAATAAGAACGACTGGGTTATCGTGAATTAAATACCCTGTATATTAGCTCGTTTAAGTTTCACTTCATCGTTTTTGGCTCATCATAACATAACCACCCCTCCTTTCTTCTTTCTCATTTGGTTTAATGCAGAGGGAACCTGGAGCGAGATTAAAGACAAAATGGCGGAAGAACTGACAAACTCTGTAGAACATTTCAGACTTGTGTTTATTCTAACTGTGTTTACGACGCAGAACTGATAGTGAAATGAGTGCGCACGCTTTTGATGTTAGGAGACAATGCCGTGAAATTATCTTAGACATAACAGATAAACAAGGAAACTCGTCATTAGACGATACAAAAGCCGTAAGGAAATGGCTGCTTTGTAACCGAGAGGTACCAACCAGACTTCAGGGAAAACTGCCACGGTAGGCCAGGTTATTTTTCTGTGGGATCAGTAAAAGCAACGTCGATTTAAATGTTCAGGGTCCCAAAACAGCTCAGAAAGTGTGGTATTCTGATCTTGAGAGTGAAACAACTCTATTACCCCAGTGATAACTACTCCACATACACACACTAAGATGACAGAAAATTAAAACCACTAAATATCAAATTAGACAGGATGTAAGCACTTTTTTAATGATTAGTTTTCAATATTTCATCCAGCCTGAATAAACTAAGAAACATTTCAAGATGAAGAACTTTTAAAATGCATTGAGTTAAGTGATAATATGTGATCCTGTCACTGGAAGAGTTTTGGTTTTAGACAAGTTGTGAAAATTAATACCTACGTGTCCAGTGGCTTGGGGTATGGACTTCTGAACCATCCCCCTAGATTTACATCAGATTGTCTTTCTCACCAAGTGCTTTTTAAGTGAAATGGCTTTGGTGATATGGGAGAAAGAGTAGAACAGTAGACACAACCAAACAATTGCAGGGATGGAGACATAATATACTAGAGACTTGAGGATGCAGGTGGCAGTATGCCTGGGTAATATGAAGTGAATGCTATGTTCTGATTGGCTACTGAAGCAAGGAAGATGGGCCCATCTTGCTTTCTCAGAATTGCTTGCCTTGATCCTGTGCAAGAAAAAGATTGCATGGGGCAGACTTGCTATGTTGCAATTTTTTTCTCAGTGACGACAATGGAGTCACAAAAAAGCAAAGAACAAAGAAAACTTTAAGCAGCCCTCTTGCTGGATTAGCCTTGATCCTTCCCTTTTTCACATTTTTATGGACCTTGACGTCATTTTAATCCATAAAAACACAAAATAAGAACTCGGCCAATATCCTGCCATCCTGCTTTGGTTTGGTCAATAAAAAATATGTATGCTAGCCGTGTACTCCCTGTAATTTTTCCAACCAGAACCAAAAACAGCTATTGACAAAGTTACCAAATCACAACCCAAGAATATTAACTCCCTAAACCCTCTGAAATATGTTGCAACTTTACAAAGTTTCTTTTTCCTCACAGGTCAACAAAGTTGATTAGTGTTAATGTAAAATGTAACCAACATTAGTGTTTGCTTAATGCAGATTGTCAACTGCTGATGATGATTAAAATTTCAAAAAAACTGTTGTTCCCTCCAGGTGTGGATTATCAGCTGTTAGCATGGCAGTGGAACTGATAAAGAGAGAAGAGGATGATAACTATGTTGCATCATCTGCACAGAAACTGTATGAAGAAGAATTGGACAACTTACTGATATTGGCAAAATCCAGGGGTTTTTCCAATCAAGGGGAATTGTACTCTGCAGAAAATCTTGCTTGTCTTGCTGAGGAATTTTATGGTGTGGAATGCTCAGTCATGAGTAATGGATTGGAGGATCACCATTCTACTGTCTCTAAATTACTCAAGGGAACAGCAGTGCTTGTCCCATATGATGCTGATAAGAACAATAAACCCTGTTTGGAGAATGGCCACCGAGCTCATTGGGCCTTGCTTACGGGTTGGTTTTGATTCTGAATTTATCTTTATTTATTTAAAAGACAAAACAAGATTACTACAATGCAATCCTCAGCAGAAATCTTATTTTCTTATATTTTACACAGTAGACTAGGCTTGATAAGTTTAAGACTCATTTAACCCTTTATTCATTTTACACATTTGCCAAGAATGTGTAACACTATAAAGAAATACTTTGAATATACTTTTCTCTACCTAATCTACTGACTCTTACAACCTCAAAATGTTTTTGAAGGTCTATTTCCTTTGGTTGATAATGTTCTTTTTTTTTAACAAAAAATTGGCAAACAGTTAGTACCTAATCAAAACTTTCCAAGCCAGAGAAAAATGATTGTCACTTGGCACCAAAGAACTCCTGCTGGTGGTAAAGGGAAAAATTTATGAACTTTGGTGAGTGATGAACTTTGTAGCATTTAAATATATGTCCATTTGTTTTAAAATGGCACTTACAGTGGGTATATGTTTTTCCCTCAAAGGTGTCATGTGTGAACTGAGTGACAACAGCATCGACTGGACATTGTTTGAACAAGATGTTGACGTTCCTACATTATTTTATGCAAGTCCATCACAGTCATTTGTCTTACCACCCAACTGTACACTGCAACATGTTTACTTTTGCATAAAGCATGGTAAATCAAACCACACAGCTGTTTGGACTCTTGAAAGCTTAAAGAGTAGTAATGCAAATCTTTTGGAACTAGACCCGAAACGAAGACTAGCTGGGAATTGGGTTGTTCCTAGAGATGACCTGAGGGTTGGACTTTGTCAGAAAATTGTGTTAATGTCTGGAAAAAGTTATAAAACTGAGTATCAATTGTAAGAATATATTGAACAAAAATACTGGATGCCAACAAATTTATTTACCAGTTCTGAATATCGTCTGATTCAAAAGAGTACTATACTATAACAATGAATTGAATAAAGTCTCAGTCTACAATATTCAGTATCTGCATTCTAGTATTTACAACAAAAAGGTCGAAACAAAGAAGTAGAAAACTTAAAAACAAATAATCTTTTCAAAAGTATTTTTCTCACACAGTTTAAGCAATCATGACCTTAGAATATCAGTGATCAGAAAATAATAACAAAATGCCTGTCATTGACAACCAACAGTTTATCATTGAAGACAAAAATTTATCAATCTTTGTGGGGAAAGCATGACCAAATTATGCTGTAGTTCAAAACTTTTCCAGGCCAAAAAGGCTCTTGATACTATTTCTTTTAAATGATTGCCAGTGTCCTAAGGCTTTGCAACTAGTGAAATACAAACTGATAAATTTTGTTTTTCTTTAGTTATGTGCAATACTTTTGACGTATTGCTTTTAACAACAAATATGCCAAAAAATATATCAAAAACTCAATTTTAAAGTGAATTATTTCCAAATAAGAAAATTATTGTAACCTTGAAATAGGCCAGCTATTCCTTCCTACTATTTATACCATCATTAATTCTGCTGTAAATTCCCATTGAAACAGACCTTGAATTTGATCAATTCCAGCTTGATGCTAACACAAAATCAATGATCCACATGTCATTCCCCTAACATGACCTTAGCAAAATCCTAATGTTTTTGTCCAATTGAATTTCCAAAGTGAATGTAGTTTGGGCACTTGCAGAGCATCCGATGAAATATACAACCCCATGACAAAAATATAAATTGGCCAGTACCTCTTCCTTTAACCAGCTAATACACAAAATTACCTGAGTACAAAAAGGCTTCACTGACTGTTTTGTCAGGAGTTGCTCAATTCATGAATGAATTTGCTGAATTGTAATTTACTTGTCATTGCAGGTCATGAGGTGAATCATTTAATGTCTTTATGACAATTTTCTTTAAAATTGATTAGACAAGCAACAGTAAGATTTTAGAAGGCTTGTGTTTGGGTGTGGCTAACCGGTCTGTTAGCAACCCTGTTACCTTTAACCACACTACAAAACAAATTTTCTTTATTGATCAAGCCAGCCACCATGTTGATAATACCTTGTCCCTTTTCACATGCTCCACTACTCGTGGCTATTCTGTTGAGGATTTTAGTTGTCTTCTCTATCCTCTTATATCGCTCCACCAAAATCTGTTCTTTCTCGGCCTTTCCCCTCGTCAGGAGCTGCTCCCTGACTTTTTGTTTCCTGCGGAATTCTCGACTGCACTGCTTGTTCCGCTCTCTTCTTTTCCTTTTCTTCTCCTCTTGTTTTCTCTGACATGAAAATAACATGGTAAGGTTTACATGCAAGTTTAAGTGAGAAGTTTAACCCCTTTGAAAATGGTGTAAATATTTGTTGATAAGTTTTATTTGAATATGAACAATGACTGGTCCCATTGGACAAGTACGTGTCTATCAATTGGCTATAAATTCCTTTCTCAAATTACCGACAAGTTGGGAACATTTCATTCAAAATGGAGAGACCCTTTCTACATCCCCTCATCATTTTAAAGAAAAAACATCCTGAAGACCTTTCAACATGCTTCAAATAGTATTTACAGGACGTGTAAAGGAAAACTTACGATGTCGTCACTTATATCTCTGAATTCTTGACTTGTCGATGAATTTGATACAAAAGGAAAAGCTTCTCCTGCTTGAATACATTCCAAAGTCACCCCTCTTCCTGTGTCTGTATCGTTTTGCCCTGTCCAAATTATGTTATCCCCAGATTGTACAACATTGTAGCTGCTCATTGCACCAGGTAAGGAGGGCACGACTAGAGGCATTGGTTCCAGGAATGTCCGAAAATTCTGAGCATCCTGAAACTGAGTGCATTCATTTGTGCCGCTCACTGAGTAGTCAGCATTCTGAGAATTATAATCACTGCCTCCTACTTCTTGCCAGTAACTCCCCGCAAAAGTTGATGAATCATCCGATCCAATCTCACCTGAATACAAAGATACAAGGAAGTTTATCGATCTCCAATGCGCACTTCAGGAGTTTAAGTGACCTACCGCATAATTTTGCAAAAAAAACAAAATGTCAATTTTGAGGGCAAGTGAAAGTTAAGAAAAGATTTCCAATTCGTTTTATGAAGCGTTTTCAAAATGGACAGCTATGCAGTATGAAGATCACAATTATTTTGACCATTGTGATTAACGTTTATTTTGGCCGTTATGATGATTGTTTTAATACAGAATTGCTCTTCATGAATGTGTTTTAAAAAATTTCAATTACAACATGATTTGTCAAAGAATCTTACACTTACCAAGAAGTTGCAAAAGGTCTTTATTTTTGCTCAAGCGACTTGCCTCCAGTATTTCTTGGATGGAAGCCGAAGGAGGTTCTATATGGTCTACATTGATAGAACTTGCTTCTTCTGATAAGGCCTGATTATCAAACCACTGATACAAGCCTGTTCCCCTTGGAACACTTTCGAAAAGAAATAAAAAACAATCATAATCACCTCTCCATTCTAGAGTGAAGATTAAAATTTTGCCATCTGGGCACAAACCGCTCTCATCTCAACTCTAGTTAAACTGGAAGTAGTGCATTGCCTCACTTACTAGTCGTCATCCTTGTTATGTTCCTGTTTCATCTCAAGGTTAATTGGCCATTGAATGGAACTATTGGTCATTTCGTTGCCGATTTCGGCTGACGCTTCACCTTGCACCATGCAATCGTGCTCTGGCGAGGGTTTTACATCAGTATCTAGCAAGCTTTCTGCGCTTAAATGAGAACCAACTGAGGAAGGCAGAGACTCCATGCTATCCATGGCAGAATGCCAGGGTAGCTTCTAAAGACAGGTCGAGTAAACTTGTTTTGAAATATTCTTCGGGAAAGGTGTGCCATGCGGTTTTTACATGCTCACCGTTAAATGACGTTGCTCATTTCAAAAAGCGCGGCCCCGCCTCCTGCCTTGACGTCACGGCTGTCGTGGCAGCAGGTTAGTTTGGCGCGAATTAAACCTTACAAATTTGGATTCAAATATGGCAAGGAATTCTGGTGTCGAAAATATTCCCGCTAAAGATCAGAGAGTTGAGGATGATTACATTGACGAACTTATCAGGAAATATCTCTATAGCGAGGACGTGAATAGGTAAAGTTTCGCGTTTGGTTTGTTAGATTCTTGTGGTTGGTTCCGTTCTCCTTCCCAACAAAGTTTTGAAATTCTCGCATGAGTGGCAAGAGAAATCCCTCACAATTTTTAACATTTCTCCTGTCGTGCACTCGAATGCCTTTCATTTTAGTCAAATGCTGTCTTATTCTCATGATATATTTCTAACGATGCTTTTTTTTTCACTAAACCACAAAGTTTTTACGAAGACTCAACTATTCCCTCACTGACCTCCCCTGAGGCTGACAAATGGCCTGGAGAGGTACTCTCACAAGACTTCAGTGACAACCGGGATTTTTCCGTACCGGAACTCTTTTTGTTGGAGGATGTGAATAGTTTACCTGACATGGTCGACGATACAGGGTCCGACGAAGAACTTCTGTCTATTTTGGACGAAATAATCATGGAGGACGAGAAGAAAACAGAAGGTAAACAAAAGCTCGCAATTATGACGTGTGAGTGATTACATCATGGCATTTTCCCGCAATTTTGCCATCTGCATCTGGATTTTTTTATCTACAGATCGACGTTCCTCTAATATTTCATCTGAAATAACGATTTGAAAAACAGTGTGCAGAACTGGAATTCGCCAACTTGAAATTTGAGCAAACACTGATAAGTTGACTCATTGCACCCATTTCGCCTATATTACATTTTTTATTCTGTGGAAAGATGTATTAGAGGGAAATGTATGCGAACAGATAGGAATGAATTACTTTGATATCTACCCAATAGTAAACGTAATAAAGGTCTTTAAAAGGAACTTTTTCTTTAATGAAATAATTGCCAAGAGTACGTAGAGCAACTCTTTAGTCCCCACTTTTCCTTAGCATACACCTAGACAGCGGGGGGGATAATTAACAACTATTCACCGAAGTGGAGGTGATTAGTGGTGGATATTTACCAAGCCGCGAAGCGGCGAGGTAAATATCCACCGCTAACCACCGACACTGAGGTGAATAGTTGTTTTAGTATATACTAAAACAGTAAGATAATATACACCACCAAAAATTGATTTGAGTGATTTCTTCGCTTGTCTCGGATGCAAACCGGGACGCCATTTTTTCCCGAGTTGCTCGGAGGTAAATAGCAAAGGATATTCGGAGTTTGACCAGCCAATATATACTAATGAAAGATAGCCAAAGGTCCCTTTTGTGATAATATTATGAATGTGAATTGTCAACCTTTTCTTATCACTTTTTGCAATATGTAAGGCATTTTCAAGCTTTGTCCCCACGCTGCCAGGAGATTGTTTCTTGATTCTTTTGGCACTCTATCCACAACAAGTTTTTGCTCAATAGTATGTATTTCAATTGTGTGTTTTAGCATCATTTCAATCCGACCCCTTTTAGTTGAAAATTGCTGCAGGTAATCGAAGGTTTTTGTATGGATTGCAAAACTGATTGTAAAAACTGATACTTGTCCCCTTTCAGATAAAGTTACAGTAACAGGAGAGGTCAAACATTTTCAAACAACTCAAAAAATCGAACAAGAAAGAGACACCACAGCACTTAACCAAGACCCAAAATCACAGAAGAGGAAGAAAATAGTAAGTTAACTGTTAGAGCAAAAATATAGACTTTACTTGTCACTAGCTAGGATAAAATATAACAAAGAAATGCTAATGGTACACCCCTTCCCATCAAAAATCATGATTATCAGATATAACTTGTTGTTTTGAAACTTTGTTGTCACAGAATGAGCTAATGCTACAAATAGATATATCCTTAACATAATTTTATGAATAAACAACCGGCTCCTGATGAGGCATGTCTCAATAGCAAAAATGTTCTAGAAAACATGAGCAGTCTATGTTCATCTGATCTGCATTATTCAAATGCCATCAACCTTTGATTGTATACAGAAAATATGTGAAATCTAGTGTTCAAGAATCCTCTAGGTTATTTCAACTGTTATTAGTTTTCCCATCCACCTTGCTGACAATCTAAATTAGTGGTTTGTTCCCCATAAGAATGTGAAGGTAAAAGGGAAATTTTAGCTAATTATATTCCACAATATCTATTTGTCGAAGGAATGTCAATAATATCTAATTGTCGAGGGGTGGAGAGGAATGAAAAAAAAAGGTTGCTCGTTTTGTTTGAAATGAAAAGCATGATAAAATTGATCTCAGTAAAAGCAACTTTTAATTTTTGTCCTGCCTATTCAATCTTTTTAAAACCTTTCCTTTGTAATAGGACTTAAAACAATGCTTAATATATCTTCCATCACCTTTTTATGCACACATCAGAACTGAACTTTTTTCCTTTACATTTTTTTTTAGAAAAGGACTTCAGCAGACAGGCGAGTCCAACCTGTATGCAGAAGGCCAATAATCATGAAAAGCAGAGCTAAAAGAAGAAATGTTGAAGAGTGAAATAATTCACATGACTTCTGTAACTTCTGTAACTTAATAACTTTTGAAAATCAATATAATTTGCAAAAATAGTCAACTGCCACCTGAGCCCTGATGTCATTAACTGCCAGCTTACACATTCTTTGATATCTGGCTCATTTACACTACTCTTTGAAACAAGTTAAAATCCTTTACAAAAACAAAAATATCAAAGGAATAGATAAATGCAGCATGACCTTTTTTGAGGCACCTATTTTTGTTATACATGTGGGAGCTGGTAAAAATTGTTGCAAATTTCCTTTGAAATAATACATGTTGAGTCACTCAATCTATATTTAAATTGCAAATGTTAATAAAATCCTCTTATTGTTATTTGCACTGTCTCATTACTTGGAAGGGGCAAACTGACAGTTAAGAATTTAAAATACAAGGAAATTCATGATCAGAACTCTTTTCACTGCTAGGTGTTTAACAGTTGTGTCTGAAAGCAAGCCTACGGAGGTAAACCAGTGAAAATTCTGAAAACCAAAGAGAAACTGCATGATAAAAAATCTTAATCTTATTACCATGATCTTAATGGTTTTGGTAAAGTTCTTTTAACAAGAGAAGTAAGAGAAAATAGCTTTTGTGTGGGTGAACAAGAGTTACATTGGCAAGGAATGAGCCTTAGGACATCTAACCTGATATCATGTGAACTGTAGAGCATAAAAAGCTGTAAAACTATACACTTAATTTCTAGTTCTAAGTGGAACAATTCTGTTTTCTGAGAGTGGTATTTTGAAAGTCTCAGCAAATGCTGAAACTCAAAGCCTAAATTTCTCTTTGTGTTTTATCCCATCAGCAATAGCATTGAGTAAGAATTCTGTAAAAATGTTTTTTACACCCATCTTTCTTCATAAAGATCTGAAGATAAACCATTCTTGTAATAGTAATAATAAAAATTCTTATAAAAGTCAGTGCTACAAGACTGAGCTTTCAAACAAATATTTTATTTTCAATAAATTCAACCACAAAATTAAGAAATTTATTTCAGCTGGGATTCTTCTAGTGTTACAATGTTATATACCTTTCAAATCCTTACACAGTTCAAAATTAAATTAAATTATCTTTAAAAAATTATTTGTTTCCAAAATCCTAATTCTGGTTGGGACAAATTAAAATAGTAAATTACATTAAATAAATATTTTTTGCCTGTTTCACAAATTTGCAAGACTTCAAAATTTACAGTCATTCAAACATCTCATGTTTAATCCCAAGGTATTGAAAACAGGACTTCATATAACTTTTACCATTTGTTTCTTACACATTACAGACCCCATAAATCTTGACTCAGTAAAGAGAAAAATAAAATAACACAAATCTTTATGAAATTACAGACAAAGACGCTTAAAAACTGTGTATCATATTCACTTGTAATCTAAACTTTTTACAACCATTTTTTAAATTTGTAAAATATGATTTATTAGTACCATCTTTTATCTAATCACTTGAAAGTATCAAGTTTAAAAAGGATTTTGCAAATCTATCCTGTTGACAAAAAGTGGGAGGAAAAACAGCCTTATGGTAGCCATACCAAATTCTGCATTGAGAAGTCCCAGTTTGCACCATGGTCTTGGGTTTTTTTTCTGTGTGTCTTCTTAGGCAAGACATGTAACTCTCACAACTTGCCATGACATTAAAATTTATCTTATTAAATAAAAGCTACAATAAAACTACTAAATGAATTGTATTTTGCTTCAAGAAAAATGTTTGTGTATTTTTTCACAAAATTGCCCTTTGGTATAAATATTTGGATTGTTTTGTTTCTCTTCATCAGAAGACATTAGCCATGTCAAAAGTTGTACATTTTTAGGTTGAAGAATCACTTACTTCTGACCCAATATTTATATTTTGTGGTTCAAATTTCTCTTTGTTTGAAAAATGTCAAACTGGGGAAATTTTTCTTTCCCTTTGTTTCAATCTAAAATACATTGAAACATTGTTTAAAATAAAATGAAAAAGAAATCAAAATGAAACTTGTTGGAAATTTTTCAACTAAGGAAAATATTGTACCACAAATTATTTTTACATAAAAAATTAATTCAGCGCTATTTTGTTGTTGTAAAACTGCTTTTATGTTAATGGACAAATAACAGCAAAGAGTGTTCCTAAAGATCTTAAACTGACAATACGTCTTTGTCGTCTGTAGTATATTTTCCATGAGAAAGGTACTCGGACATTACAAAGCAAGAGAACACAAGTGCCTCCCAAGAGGAAAATAAAAAAACTAACACTAAATGGTACTCCTCTTGTTTTAGAACTCTAACAAGAAACAGAGAAATGAAAATAAAACAGTGCTATCAGCATAATAATTACACCATTAGAACAATAAACCATTTACATTAAAGTCAATGCGGGATACATGTGTAGAGGTTTGCTTTGATCTTTTTCAAGGTTTTCCCCACCATTTTACTCTTTTTACTTGAAATTTGTCAGAAAAAATTAACTATTGTTATTATTATATGACGAAGCTGTTTGATTTAGAATCCCAACTTCAATAAATTAGCAGGATTTACTGAAAGGTCATGTTATAAGTTTCATTTGCCGGCCTGGTTTATTTTTCCCTTTCCAGAGAATAATAATAATACTCCTCAATACATAATAAACACATGACAAACAGCATTTCTTCAGATAAAATATATTTCTGTTATTTGCTGACTGGGAGTTCCATACAGATAAATTTGTTTTAAGGGTAAGCCTTTGCTTTATGGTTCTATCCACAAGGTAGTTTAAAAGATATATTTCTATGTTATTTGCTGACTGGAAGGTCCATACAGACAAAAACTGTGACTATATGGACCATGCCTGGGCTGGAGTGACCTCTATACTTTTTTCCCTCCTCCTCTCTCTCTATCTCTCTCCTTCTCTCTCATAACTTTTTAATCGGTGACCCTTTCTTCGTGCACAATTCACATCTTTTTTTTTATTTATTTAACTTCGCCGACAGGCAGGGACACCGTGACAGCTTGCACCAATTACCGCGGGCCCAGTAAATCCACCCATCCCACCCCAGGGGAGGACATCCACCACACAGTAATCTCATGTGTAGGAAATTAGCATCTCCTACCCTTAACCCTGCAGGAGACAGGACCTCCATTTATTCATCCCTATCCGAGAAGACAAGAATATCTAACCATTTCTTTGATGTTATAGAAAGGTAGCATATTCTTCTCAATTATTTTAAGACCTTGAGTGTTGGTCTGGCCAGGACTTGAACCCTCAACCTCCTGCACAACAGCCCAGCGTTCTATCCATTGAGCTAACCGGGAGGCGGTTAGCTCAGTGGTTAGTTATCTAGCAATTGCTGTAAAATTTGACAAACTGAATGTTTCAGAGAGGGATACTTTTACTTGAATGTGATTTTAAACTTTGGTGTCTAATAAAAATATGCAGCCAAATTAGGATTCGTACCAAAATTAAATTTTTTTATTTTTTTGCAAACTCATGGATGCTAAATCAAAAATAAAGTGTTACAATGAAGGAGCATAGAGATAGGACAATGCACACCCTCTTGAGAACTAATCAGATTGACAAATTCATTAACCTGCACTATTGGAAAAAATAAATTCTTCTTTAGATATCCTTACCTTGTCACTTGCCTGTTGTCTAGCCATTATCAAAATCTGTGTTTTTTTCCAGTTTTGTATAAAATTAAAGATTGTTGGATAAAGTGGGTGGATAAGCTTTAATTCAGCCTGCATTGAGGGTAAAGAGATCACTGAAATTACATCATATATAACACAGCCTTGCTATTGAGATTCAAAATCTAAAAGAAAATAATAATAATAATAATAATAATAATAAATTAAGCATCTTAACTTACCTCCAAATCCTCACTTGGTGGATTGAATGTACTAAAGCAGTTTTTGTCAGGAAAATCAGATTTTGCGTCTTTCTCTCCCCACAAAGAAATTTTGTATGTAAGTGATATCTAATAAGAAAACATTTTACATATGTTATGGTCCTATCAATTCAAATTTCCTATCTCTTAAACAGATGTGGAAAACATTTCTTGTTACTTCATTTCTTAATAATAACCATTATCTGTTTCTTTGCAATTTTTTTCTAGTGATCTCTCACCCTTCTTTTATTCCAGAATTACCCAAAAACTACTTAACAGCAAGAGATATACTTTCTCATAGGTCTTATGCTTTCAACATGTCACACAGAGTTGTGACATTTCTTATACTGCAAAGAAATCTGACTCAAAAAATTTATTTAAGTCTTGATAACTTATTCTATACACTATAAACAAAAGACCAAAGTTTTCAACAGAGTCAATATACTTGATATGAAAAAATTAATTATTTTTCACCTGTTTCTCTTGGTTTGCGTATGTAAAAATGCCTGCATCAAATAAAGAGGTATTTACAGGGACAAGTGTGAAGCTTGATTTTAAAGAGGAGGACATGAGAGATGCTAAGTAGAAGACATCTACACCAGAACCTTTGGAATTTTTTTCTGTTGAGAAAGATTCACTTTCATTGGTAAATAAAATACAGTGACAATCAGAATTGAACCCTTTAACTCCCAGAAGTGATTAACATGTAATTTCTCTTTATAATATCCACATGTTATTCAGAAAACAGGTAATGAGAACTCAGACTTATCAGTTAAAAGTTGTTCTCTTGATCTAATATCAAATTCTTTTAACTAATTTACAAGGAAATGTGAAAAAGCTTGAGTGAAAAAAATTAACAATCAGACCTTGGAGTTAAGTGTTGAGTGATACTTGACCTACATCCCTACCACTTACGCACAAAATTCAGGCATGTTACTTGCACTCCTAAGTAGAATTGTATAACTGAATTAAATCTTGCTTTCTAATTGGCTAGCAAAGCGAGGTATTTAGCATGGAATTGCGAGTTCAAAGTGAGGCTAAGTGATATTGTTTCACGTGTACATAACTATCATCAAAATTGTAACACCATAACTGCAAAAAAGTAGTTACCTGACTCCTGAATTCCACATTAAATTACATTTGAAAACCAATATCACACTCATCACTTCGCAATTATTGTGATATCAGTGTTGACACATGCAGTTTAACACAGAATTTCCTCATCAGGTAATAAATTTTCTCATAAAATACTTTACACCCTGAGTCTTAGGGAAAGAGGTGAGCCAGAAGTAGCAGTTAAAGTTGAAGACCTACCTGATAATGGATAAAGTATTTGTCTACTTCCTGAATGGAATGAGAAGAAAGCATCAAAACTGTGTCTAGACATCAACTCTCTAAAAACTCTACATTCTGGTTCTGCTGAGGATCAAAAAATTTATTGAGAATTAGCTTGTGTCCTTGAATGTAGACAAAACACCTTTTTGACAACTCTCCACACATTGCATACCTGTGTATGTTTATCAGAAAATACCAAAAATTATTTATCCATTTGACATCTACTGGTACTTCATCATTGACCGCATTTTCTCCTAAGAGAGACACTGCTCTTAAAATTTTCATTTTTAAAGTGTACACGCATAATTTTTGTCGAGTATACTACATCAGATGGCACCTTGTACAAATGAATAACATAACTAAACAAAAAAACATATACCCTTTCGTGTGGAGAATAAATTTTGATCTTATATAATACTCTCATTCAAAATTAATGACCTGACTAGGTTTAAAACACACAAACACACACAATAAAATCAACTGGGCAGCACAAGTTAGAAAAAACAGTAAACAAACCTGCTATAACTCTATCTGTTCCTCTACTGGTTCGTCTAAGATTCGCCGCCAGATCGCTGTTCAGATCAGCGTTTTTTGCTGTACCCATATGACAATAGTTTCTAGTTTTCTCGACGATTGTCCGACCATCTGGATTCACGATGGTCAAGATGTAAAGATCAAAATTATTAAGCAAATATCGGGTAAACTTTCCTCCGTAGGTCTCTTGAGGTAAGTCATAACCCTGAGTTATATTTTCTATCAAGTGGAACATACTTTGAACGGGGAAGAATTCGGCGGCGTGTTCGCCATAGGAAAAAAATATTCTGGATCTGTTGTCTGATTTGTTCTCAGTAACAGAATCAAGAGAGAAGTTCGATACTCGAAGAACGTACTGAGTAAGTCCCATACGTGAACGGTAGCGCATCTGTACGTCCAAAAATTCAGAATATTGCGAGGAAACATGATGAAGGCATTGGTTCATCCTGGAGAGATTATGATAGAAATCGTAATTTGGAAGATACTTTTCCACTGATGGTCTCATATCAAAAATCGTCCCTCTGGAAACACAAGTAACAACAAAGAATGCCGCAACGATTAACCAGCTGGGTAAGTCAAGCAGGCTCATTTCTTGAATGAAACTTCTTGTCACATTTAAAAATCATCTGAAGATCATGACGGATAAACCTACATCGCTGTCCTCGATCGTCGTAATGTCTGAGAGACAGATTTTACAGATAAATTTCAAAATTAAAAGCCTCGAGGGGATGTTGCCCCTCTACGACCATTACAACTTAGTCCATGGGGTTAACCGCTGGTTAAAGCGAACTCCAGCGTCTGTCACGAAAGGGGTGTCAAAGTGGTGTTACACAAACTGTAACGCAGTCGATCAAGTGAAACAGGCCAGGCAAACGTTAACAAGTAAGTTTGTAAAACTAACGGTTAAAAAATAAAAAGATGCACATTTACACTTCTCTTGCGTTTTAGTTTATTCACCCCTACGAAATGAAAATCGGAAACAGGGTGCAAACAACTACAAGGACTAAAAAACACTGCCTGTTCAAAATCGTCACCAGTAATATCAAAAGTAGACATTACTTTTTGTAAGAAATCGAGGAAATGAAAAAAGTTTATAGAATTTGTTTATCATCTCGTGCAGGGAGGCATTGCGGCCCATAAGAAACCAAATTTAACTTAGTAAAACGCTCTTAAAAAATAAATCAAAATGAAACAAAAAAGAGAAAAAAACAGAACAAAACAAAAAAAGCAAGAATGAAATCCCCGAAGATTGAGATCCAAACCAAAGACTTAGGAATGACAAAGACCAGTAAAACGCCTCTTTTATCCATAATTACCAAGAACCTTAAACTGCAAAAAAGAAAGCTTGAAACCGCGGGGGAAACCAAAACCGTAGATTTTAAGTGCAGAAACTTAAAACCGATCTCACGAGCAAAACCGAAAAAAAACAAACCCAATGCCTCCTTATCGTATGGATGAAACCACCAACCTATTATTAACAATTGGTTCATGCTTTAGCGTGCGCTATCGAGTTATGGAGCACGCGGGAAGTTTGGAGAGCACGAAAGAAGCGTAAGAGTTGCCCGAGGCGATAGCCGAGGGCAACTCTACAACAATATCAGTTGAAGCGAATCGTGACGGCGCTGATGCCGAGTCTCCTTTTCCTTTGTTTTTCTCTTTTTCTGCCTCATTTAAGAACTCTAGCCCAAGGGAAAAGGTCGAAACATTGTCTTCGTTTTCGGACTAGTAGGCCGAGTTTCTGTTTGTATCCATTATTGTCGCGAAATATATTATTTTTCCCCGCGCTAACAATGGCCGCTCGCGCGAAAAAAAAAATTTCTGGCGAAGTCGGATTTGCTGACGCTATCAGCGTGCACTAGCTATCGGGATTTTGAGCACGCTTACGTATAATGAATTTGATTGCGTGACTCTGCTAGCTATGTTCTAATTTTTATTAGTGTCAGAATACATAAATAAAAATGAACTGTGACAAGCTGGTATACAACAAGAAAAAGCGAATGAATAGAAAACAGTATCAACAAGACAGAATGCACACCCATGTTATGTTGACAGTATGAATTGTAATATTTAAAAGTATATCAGTAAGTAGTCAGAGACAATTATGTGTAAAATATGAAAGGCATACAAATTGTATGAATTGGCATAACCATTTTCCCTATACAAAAATTCCGATTTATTTTTTTATTTACACATTCCTGCATGGTTTGTCTCAGTATGAAAAACCAATTTCACTATATGATATTTAGCGCGTAGCGTAATATTTCAAATCACGTTCCCCATTACGATGCATTATTTCTTATGAATTGAAAATTCGCAACCAGGCCTCGGCATTTTGATTTGAGAAAAAGGTCGCACGGCCGACTTGTTTGTTTTCCCACTTTGGAATGTACCATACATAGCAATTAATTGACACAAATGCCAGCCAGTGCAACAACTCTGCACGGATGAGATAAAACCAGCTTAAAAGAAATGGAGACAGTCCAAGGCCTTTACTGCAACTCGTATCCAGCAGTTGCCTTGCCACATTTATTTCGTTCTTCACAACAGCGCCTTTTGCTGTTGCCCTTTTGTAGTACACTCTTCAAATCTGCGAAAAATAGCCCAACATGAGATTTGCAATGACCAAAAGAGTAGGGAAAAGCGAGGACCAGTCAAAACTGGGATGGATTCCGGGTTTTGTGGTTATTTGGAGCATTGAAGTCATCACAGAATTTATGGTACTCGTTGGGGTCAAATAAAACCCCGTTTCACGCCCTGACAGCGTTTTTCGAACACTTTTGCAAATTTACAGAATACCCCCATCCCTCCCCGAACTGTATTCTTGAAAATGTTCAATATCACTTCATTCTTAAGACATTTTTAGAAATAATTGATTGGCACCATAGAAAATAATTTCCACTGAGTGTATGCTATGAAACACTAGAGATAGAGACTGTAAATAGAGCATGACTGATGACTCGCCAAATGAGAGGTACCTTGCATGTCGAAACTTGAATTCGAAGTCTCGTCTTCCGGTGAAGATTGCGACGAACAACTGTAATAGTCAGAAGTCATCATGGGTGAATTTCCCCTGCTTGGGTCATGGCATTTAGAACATTGAAAAGGAGCAGTTCCAGGACCCCTCGGACTTTTTCACTCGTTACTTGCGTCCTTCATGTAATCTCTCCATGCTCCACCATGATGATTTCGTCTTTTACGTTGCCAAATAGGGTGATCAGACACTATGGACATGATCTCAAGGGGAAAAAAATAGTATTATTTTCTATTTCGTGTGGGTTTTTACCAAAGCAAGATATGATACAATACAAATAAACTAAGGAAATTGGATAAATCAAGATTGCAGTAGTATGGAAAAGGCTCGAAAGCGCTTTATTTGACGTGATAATCCTTAAAAAAAATTTTTCCTTAACAGTTCGTCTTCTAGATTGTCTTTAGCAACCGTGAATGCGAAACTATTTAGCTGAGATCTCAAACCGGACTTAGTCCGCGAGACAAGGCCAGGCAAAGAGAGTACATTCGCCCCATGAAACCCTATACCAGAAACTTAATCCTCTTAGCCCGGGTAATTCAGGTATTGGACGGGTACGGTGATGTTGAGTTCTGAAATCAAACAGCGTGTGTAAGGTCTATTTACCTTCTCTATTTAAATTCAGTAAATAGGTGGTGGAAAAATGGTTACACGAGTCATCGTGTCGCTCTAGCTCTTTTGACAAAGAGTATCGCCGTGTACCATTAAATGTGCTGAGGGAGGGTGGGTAGGGCTAGCTGCTTTTGTCCTGACAAAGGCCTTTGTGAGGAGGGGAACTTCCGTAATGAGTACGCCTCAGAAATATTAGCCTCGAACATACAGTTATTTTTTAAAATAAAATTTAATGGCAAATTCAGTTTGTCTTTATGCGACGGTCTTTTTATGCTCTTTACGATGCAATTTACCTCATCACAGGTTAATCTACTGACTAGAGCACGATATCCAATCTTTTTCCAAAACATATCCCTCTTTTGAAGGAAGCTAGGGTACATATCTCGCCAGTTTTTTCCCAGAGCCCACGGGAATATGTCGTACTTTTCTTCCTCTTCGTCCTCTTCCATATCATTTGCTAAGTATCTATGCAATAAAAGGCTTTATTTAAAAGCGAGTGGTAGAAAGGCAACGCAAATAACTAACTAAGATTTTGAATGACAATGTACTAACAGAGCTATGAAGAAATTCATTCTGTTAAATTCTCGACGAGCAAGTTCTGCTCTCCTGAAGTAGGTGTAAACCATTGCCAGAAGATACTGGAGAAGGAAAGTTGAAGATAATTTCAGAATTTGAAGTTTTTGTCACAATAAAAAGTTTTCTCTGCCACTTTTTACCTTGTCTGATATTATTGCGCAACTGTCCATCCATAAAAAATCTTGAATGACATCATCATCTGTATTATTGACGAAAAAATCAAAAAGATGTCTTGCCTTTGTCGCCCATTTGAATATACAAAATGGTTAAGGAATGTATTTGAAGATGACTGTTAGAAAATGCAGGCAAAAGAAACAAAAAGTAGCATTTTTATGCACTGAACTTGACCTTTAACAACTCACCTAGTAGTCTGAAAAAGGCTGCCATAAATGAATTCCGTCCGCAATATTCTGTGTAAAGCTGTTTAACCTTCAGTTTCTTGCACAAACGCTGCTTCTCAGCTGATGAATTCTCACATTCACTGAAAGCCCTTCTTCGCTTGAGCACCACAGCCTCGGGCTTTGCACTTGTTATCTTTTCAGTTCGTGGATGCTTGCATTTCGTGATCTCTGAATCAGCTTCAAAGCTCTCGATCTGGCAATATCTGGTTGAAATTTGACCTCCCATCTTCTGGTATTTCTGAAGTTCTTCTCCCGCCTTCTTTTTGACCTGCTCTGGCTTTTTCTCGAAACATAAAAAGCGATTTGTTCGCATAATTATGCTAAAATAAAAGAAAGCAACTGCGCCAGAAAATCAGCGCAAGCAAGTTGCCTGCGAAGCACGAGTGTTTCCCGCCTTTTCCCGGTTTTTCCCGCGGTGCGCGTAAGGTAGATTAACTTGGATACAGAATTCTCACCATATATGAAGGAACTACCAATCAAACATGGCGGATGAGAGTGAGTCGAATTTAAAGCTCACAAATTAATCTGCAAAAAAGACTTTATTTCCAATACAAGGATCTGAACGAAATTCAGGTGGGGCTTCCCATGGCATTCTTTTCCCCTGTGTTTCAGCGAAAGACGCGGTTGAAGATGGTGTCCAAGGTGAGTCAAATGCAGTGAGATAGAGAAAGGCTGCTATAAATTTTCGCGTACCTTGAAGAGAACTTGCTGCAGAAATTTGCTAAAACGGCCTATATACAAACATACGTTATGTGTTCGTATTTTCTTTCTCCCTATATTTGTAGGATTATGATAAAATGCAAACAATACTGAATTATCTTTTCTGCAGGTGTCAACCAGCCAAATTGGCTTAGAAATGAAAGTTACAAAGATGTCATTGAGCATCAAAAGACTTCTGTAGAGCAACACGAGTCTGCAGACCAGGGAGGCAAACGTGCACAGTCAGACATCTCTAGTTCAGACGATGAAGGAGAACTTCATTCCAGCAAGGAAATAAAGGAAAAAAGTTTTGATGTTAATGAAAAAGTGCGAAAATACCATAAGGACAAGAAGAAACACCGACATAAAAAGAAACGAAAACATGAGAAAGAAAAATCAGGGTCTAAAGACTATATTAATGAGGATGCAAGCAAACCCAATACAATTTGGATCGAAGAAGCTCAACTTGTCCCCGAGAAAGCCTTCAGACTTCACAAGAAACCTGATATGGCCAATCGCATGTATGACACACTCTACCGGTTAGACATTGCTTTGTATAAGTTGAAGTCAAATGCAACGTGTCTTGGTCTTGGTAAACATCAAGTTATTGAGCTGTTTGAAAAGAAAGGAAAGAAAAAGAAAAAACAGGATAAGACAGTGAGATATTGGCGTGTAAAAGATTTCCAGTTACCAGAGAATGCTGACAACATTTCTATGACATTGCAAAGTACTGTTGATATGTCAAACCAGAGAGTCAACTTGGTTGATGGTAGTAATTACATATCTCTCAAGTTACCCAGTCAAGAAGATATAGGCCAAATGGAAAACAGTCATATTTCTTCCAGAGAGGCTCTTATGGCTGATAGAGATTCTCAGGAATCTGACATCTTGCAAAAGATTCGTGAGCTAAACAAGATCTTGCATGACGAACCACATGATATTCAAACTTGGCTTGCTCTTGTCGATCTTCAAGAAGAGGTTGTCAGACGAGAAGACTCAGTCCAATCAAGCTTCACAGCAACAGGTAGAGAAAGGAGAACAGCTGCCACAAGGACAGTAATTGAAAAGAAAATTGCTGTCCTTGAGAAAGCTTTGCAAAAAAATCCAAACACAGTTGAACTTATAGTAGGGCACTTAAATCTTTGTAATGAGATCTTGGATACTGAGGAATTAGTTCAGAAATGGAAGAAAATCAGTTTCATTCACCCAAACAACACTCTGTTGTGGAAAAACTATATACTTTTCATGCAATCAAGATTTTCAGTGTTCTCATTTAGCAAGACAGCAGTAGTGTATGGTAAATGTCTAAGTACACTGTCATCTATAAAGGAGGGAACTTTTGCATCACACCAGGCTGAAGGTGACTTGGAGAGTGAAATGGTGGACTTGTTTATCAGTGAATGCCAATTTTCAAAGCAGTCAGGTAAGCAGATTAATGGCCACAATATATCTGAGAAGTAATGGGTTACCAAGCTCCCCAATCCATTTGTGAGCTGTTTCATAAAGACAAGCAGAGTTATCATAATTTAAGAAGAGCAGAAAAATTCATTACACCACATTATAATTATTCAATAGGTAGAATTTCTTTAAGTTATAGAGGTGCCACTGTGTGGAATATGTTGCCAGAATCTCCTCCCTGTTAGCTCAATTGGTTAGAGTGCCAGATTGTGATGTGCGGGAGGTCGTGGGTTCGAGCCGCAGCTGGACCAATACTCATGGTCTTAAAATAACTGAGGAGAATTTGCTACCTTTCTATAATACCAAGAAATGGATAGATTTTCTAGTCTTCTCAGATAAGGACGAATAAACCGTCGGCCCCATCTCCTACAGGGTTAGGGGTAGGAGACGTTAATTTCCCACGCAAGAGATTACTCTGTGGTGGATGTCCTCCCCTGGAGAGGGATGGGTGGGAATAGAGGGCCGCAAGTTTATTAGTTACTTCAACTATTCCATGCCACCCTCTCTGAATAAAGTGTGTATGTATGTATGTATGTAACCTTACAAAAAAGAAGCCAACTCTTCAAGCTTTAAGATTAAGATTAAAAACAATTCGGAACTTTTAGAGAAAAGGAGCTTTGGGAAGGAGTCTTGTTTAATAACTAATAAGCAATCCGATTTTTATTAATATTAAACCCCAAACATGTTTTGA